AAACACAGAATTGTCCTTTGTAATTAAACGTAAGCCTGCATCTTGTGATCGCCAGCCTGTGGGTACATTCTACTAAAAAACAAAGGTACAGAGCCACAGAATTTCTAAATTAAGTTTGCCGTTTACACTTTACGATTGCACTTAGGCTCTTTAGCAGCTCAGGATGTTTTTCCATCTCTAAGACTTCTCACAGATATAATTACAGGAATCCGGTTGATTAAGCATGAATATCCGGAGATATTATTTCTGTGCGTGGATAGCCTTAACCGCAATAAACATAGGTGAAAGCTCCCCTGTTAGCTTCCAGCAGTGTTAGTTTCATATTTCCCTTTAATCCTTTTCTTTTTCCACTTTCAATGTTCTTTTCCTTATCAGAAAAGACAGAAGCAAACGGGCATGAAACAATACAACTTTCTTCTGTCAAGGATAATCGCGCTCCTCTTATCACTACGGCGGATTTGTCTTTTCCTTGTTCCTTTCCGCTGTAAACACAGCACAGCCCCACCACCGCCCACCTTGCAGCATGGGGCAGTCACAGGGTATCTTACCCGTGCCAAGCTGCTCCAAGCCCAGCTTATTGAAATGGTCGTTGTTTATCCCGAGTAGGAAGAGGTATGCCTGGAGCTTAAAGTATTTCCATATTTGCTTAACTAGTAAGTGAGTAACAAGCTTCCCAGAGGAGCTTGGCTTCCAAATGAGATCGGGGCCTCCCTAGTGTTGCAGGGGTGCAGTCTCAGCACTGTGAAGCTCTCAGCAGCCACTGCAGCACCTGTTTGACCTCCAGGCCAGGGAGTGACCCACAGGGCGCGGCAGACCTCTCCGGTCTCCCCACTGTCCCCCTCAGCAGTGTACTTCGTCCGTCTGCCTGTTCTGCTCCCCACTGTCTCCGGTGAATCCTCTCATACACACGCCCCTACATACACCTCTAGCCTGTACCCCAGCTTTTATATGCGTAAATACATAAATCTTTTAGACCAAGTGAGATCAGCCATGATCCCAGCCCCGTTCCAGTCATGGACATGGAACATCTCGCTGCACCCCGGCCCTGCTTCTGAATTCCCTGCGCCTCTCCTGCCCGGACCCCACCTCATGTGTCCCTGCTTCTCTCAGCCGTCACCATGATTTCTTCCAGAACATAAACCTTCATTATTAGATGGTGACTTTGGAAGATCAGTTGGGAGGGAATCCCAGACTCTTGTTATCAGGTAAACAAGCGTAGGCACAGCTCTGTTCTCTCTGCGCTGACCCGTCTGCAAGCACAACGGCCTGGCTGCAGGCAGGATTAGCCTGTTGGCCGCTGGGGTGGCTGCGTCAGCCAGGCCTCCCCGGCCTCTTTCTTCTCCTGCTGCATGCTCCTCTTACCCTTTGTGCCCCTCATTCCTTTCTCATTTGCCCGACCCCCTGCTTTCTCCCCTGTCTTCTGTGCCCCGTCTGGACTAGG